TGCAGCCCACACACTGACACAGCATCACTTTTTTTGTTCTCACATGTTCACAGTCAGTTACAAAGCCAACAGCACTTGCATGACAGCTAAAAATGAGTATATACTTTCTCGAGAAAGTGCTACACAGTGGTACTGCCATGTTTATTTTTTAATGCTAATCTTCCCAAAACTTTGACCCATAGCATATTCAAGCTATGTTTCTCATAGGTCTTCATTTTCTCAGTGGCCACATAAATTGAAACTAATAAACTATAGAATAAAACTGTCCCAATGAGACTGTAGGGCTTATTAATAGAAATGTGATAAGTGGTGCACTATTAATTGTGTAACTGATAAATACCTGGAGCAAAATAATGAGCAGTGATTAAATTTGAGTGTGCATTTTTGTAACAAGTTTCATATTTTTAGGCAAGATGGACAACCAGATTTTCCACAGAACATTTTGGTACTTGATGAAGTTTGCCTTCCTATATAAAGAGTTCATTTATATTTGTTTCCCACAGTCTTCCAAGAATGATGTAGCATCTGAAATTAAAAATACTTTTCAGTAACTATCTTATGAAGGCTGTCACTGATGACACAATAGGAGAAGGAGAGAATTTTAAGCATGCATTTTTGCAGTTACATAGAAGTGCAGGTATAGAAGAAATGTAAATCCCACATATTGTAAAGCTGGAAAACAGTTTATAAATGAGCAGAGAAGAAAAGCATGAGAGAGTAAAACACTGTATTCAATGAATATTGAGAAGCAACTCTACTTGTTGCCAAATGGTTTTTACCTTTTTTATGCTGTTATCTGTTGTGTATATAAGTTCTTTGATTTTGCATGGGTGACCAAGTAAGAGGCTCAGAAGCCAAAATCTGCCTTGCTGTCAACAGAGCAATTTTAAATTTCAGCACTGAATCAAAGTGCAGTTTTGCTCCCACACTAGTTCCCTTCTTGCAGGGTCAGAGCAACTGGAATCAGATTGCTTAATGCTCAAAAGGGCATGAATACTTTGGGCCAAAAAATTAATCACCATAAACCAGTTTTTCTTTATTAGAGGCCTCTTTTCATGACTTTTACTATTATTATTGTTGAGCACTTTGTAAAAGGTCTGTTTTTCATACCACCCACAAAAAGACTGATCTGTTTATTAAATTGTCCTATGCCTACTCAGTGGCCCCAGTGCTTGACAGTTTTAGCTGAAATGTACAAAAGATGTCACTTACATTGCCATATCATGTAATGGCCATAATTATGCAGAAAAGTACAATTACACCGAAACAACACGTTGCTGTGCTTTTTGGTCAAGGGATTTCGCCTCGTCTTGTAACCAGAGCAACAGCTTTACCAAACATGAGAATCTGTAAATACAGGGCTGACAGCAGAGCTGGGAACCTTCAGCTCCCTCCTCTCTGGGCCACTCTTTCCATCTGCAGGTTGGGGTTCTCTCTGCTTGTCTAAACTGTCACACAAGATGTGATTACCTACTTTTTAAAACAACTTCAGTATGCAAAACTTAGAAAAATGTCAAAATAAATAGACATAAAAAACCAATCCCAAACCCAAGCAACCAAACAGAAGATGGAGCCAGAGAGAAGCTTTTAAAGCAAATTGCCAGAGAAGATGGGGAACTCGGATTGCTCCAACTCCTGAACTCCAAACAAGACTGCAGATAAGGAATTGGAGAAAGTCCTTCAAGACTCTGGTGCAGTTCAAGGGCATGGAAAGAGGCTCCACTGTGTGTGAACGCATCAGTGCAAACCGGCACAGCTGCTTCCCCAGGGTGCTCTGTCCTCCCCCTGCTGCTCAGAGGCAGGGAGCCCAATTCTGTTCTACCCCAATCAAAAGAGGGAAAGTCAGCCTGCCTCAAGAATAGAAAGGCCAAAACTAACAGAGGCATGGATGTTTCATTTACTGTGCTGTCATGCCTGAACACAGAGTAAGAGAAATGATGCTAAGAACCAAAGATGAGGTAATACTAATTAATTCGATGTAAAGTAAGCCGCATTTTTCAGCTTGATTTTCATTCTGTCTTACTAGTGGATACACTCTTCCAAGAAAGTTCACATAATCCAAGCATACCTACTAGACAAGAAATAGAACCTTTAAATGATGTCATCATGTAATTTTTGTAATTTCCTGCAAAAAGCAAATACCAGAGGAGCATCTTATAATTCTTAATCCTACAACATTTTTAATGCAGAAAAATAACTGAATAAGCTTGCTTTTCTTGGCTTCAGATTCAGATACTAAGTTGTTCTGCTTTCAGTCCTAGCAGTATTTTTAATCCATGCAATCTGGCCTGAAAGCTATGACAGAAAATGAAAAAAATATATTCTAGGAAATATTTATGAGATTTATTTTCTTGATTTTTCTTTTCAGTTATACAGGGAAACACTTTTCTAAACTACCCTAGTTTTGCTCCTGTAAGTTCTCAAAAAATTGATGTCTAGAGCAATTCTAACTTTGTCTGAAATGTCACACAAGACATGTTACCAACTTTCTGTCATAATATGAAAATTGTTTTTTTAAAGTTTTTTATTGTTTTGTGTGACAGTGGTAGACCTGGGAGGACACTCAGGTCTTGTTGGTAATTTCCATGGCTTTTCCACCACCACAATACTCTTTAAGCCTATCAAGGAGAATGCAAGAGGAAGCTCCAAGTTCTTACTTTGAAATCATTCTATTTCTTCTGTCTCCCATACTCCTTTCCCCAGGTTTCAGTAAATTACTTTTTCTTCCATCAGTCATAGCAAAATTGCTTTTCTGTGCCATAATTTCTCAACCCTCTTTCTCTATCTCATCAGAGAGAGTAGAGCACTGACCTCAAGTTTGCACACCTGGTAAAATGATGTACTAGACCTCAGGACACCTTTCTATTATTCAAGTACTTTCCTGGTCTTGCAGAGGAAATCACCATTACAGATAAGCTTTAAAAAAATGCCCTCAAGAATTTTATCTTGAATAGCCACTGGAATTCTGGAATCTCTTGCATTGTGTTGTCTTTTTTTTTTTTTTTTTCCTCCTTCCTTTCTCCCCAAAGGGTAACTTATTTCCAGAGGCCAACCATTTATATAAAGCATATATTTGATTTTATCATATTACTATTTCACTTCAGTCCAAAATGTATGTCTGTCCTTCAGTGTTTTCCTCTAAACAGTGTCTTAAACCTTGAAGGAGTAGCTGGACCTGGAACTGTTTAAGGATATAAGAGAGACAAGATAATAGGGAAGAGCTGTGTTTCAGTAGGCAACTGAAACAACTCTTTCCCGTTCCGTGACCCACACCTTTGCCTATCAAGACACTCATTTCTCAACTACTTTCTTCCTTAAAAGCCTTTTTGGAAAATGGATTGTGGGTCTCCCAAGGGCCTGCTCCAGCAAATGCTCAGCCCTGTTTATATGTCAGTGATCCAAAATGCCTTGATCTTGAGAGTAAACTACTGCAAGGTCAGTAGATCTTACCAGACTTCAGTTTAAAAGACATTTTTAGATATATTCTGAAAACTAACAAGTATATCAATTTTCAAAGAGTACCTCATACCTCACCAAGCAGTGAGACAAGCATTTCTGTCTGTAGCGCTAGCCTAGGACTGCAGATCATCCACAGCTGAGAGAAGGTGGGTCTTTGACTCTTCAGTACTAACTCCCTTCTAAGAATGATGAGGAAGAGATATTATCTAGTCCAGTCACACATCCTCAGGGAAATAGTTTGAGACTGCAGATTCATTTCCTGTAATCCAGCTGTTGCTGACCAGACCTTTCCCTCTGCAGTACTCTTGTGGACCTGTCATGTTTAGTTGAGAAAGCTTAAATGTCTTGCTGTGGTCCTGCAGACACTGTTTATCAGAGAAGAGATCACTAAACATGGTGAAATTTAATTTCTGTCATAAGGAATTGACTTTATCTTTCCTCTGTTGGCTCTGTCTACTACATAGGCAGCATAAGTGTGAGTGGGCAATCAAGATTTGTCCTATTGCAGACGCTGCTCTATTCTACTCCTAGAAAAAAAAAATTAATCTCTCGATCTCATATTGTTTGAATACCTGATTTTTTTTTTTTTTTTTTTTTTTTTTTTTTTGGTTAAACCGCTGCTGTTTGGGCTTAGTGTGGGTAAATTTAAAGTTGCAGCTGAAATAGCGCTTTCCAATCTGCTGACAACTTCTGCAATGTAGGACAGCAGCTCAGACATTGAGCATGATTTTCCGGAATCTTTCGAGACAGATTATGAAAGTTTGGCATATGCCTCGAGAGGAAGCTGCCTTTTCACTGGTTTCAGCACAGAGCTTTGGGCAAGTGATGTGACTTTCTTGGAGCTCAATGAATCTGTCAGGAAAAGCGAGCGAAAAGAAGGCGCTTGATGAAAACGAGCTGCTGGGAGTCTGCTGCGTTTCCCTTCGGAATCAGCTTTCTTAAAGAGAATTTCTGCTGGCGCCGCGGTGCAGCCCTACCTGTCAGCGTCCCTGTCTAGTGCAGCAGCAGAAATTCCATGTTTACCTTCAGTCCCAGGAAAAACTAAGATAGGAAAATGTAAACAGAGAGGGATGCGGCTACTTTTGCGCAACATTCTGTTTAATCTTGACTCGCGTTGGTTTTTTTTTTTTCGCCCGGCGGCCACAGCAGTGTGGGATGGACCGCACGGAGCCGTACTGTGCCGACAGTCCATAGCCGGGCACGGGACAGAGAGGGACAGGCTCCCCGCAGCCCTGGGGCGAGTCCGCGGCACTGGGAGGGCAGCCCTGGCAGGAGAGGTGCGCTCACACCTCCGCCGGACCGCAGCTTTCCCTTCGCGAAGGCGCCGCTCCACAAACCCCGCTCTGCGAGATGGCGGCGGGCGGCCGCCATTTCCCGCCCCTCCGCGCACCGCACCGCGCCCCGCCCGGCGCGGTTTGGCCCGGCCCTGCCCTGCCCGCTCGGGGGCGGTGCCGCGGCCGCCGCCGCGCTGTCCCTGCTTCCCAGGGAGCGCCCGGCTCCGGCAAGTCCCTCCTCCGCCTCGGCAGTGCGGGCCGCCTCCCTCCCTCCCCCGGCCGTAGCCTCCTCCGGTGGCAGCGGCGGTGCCCGCCGGCCCCATGGCGGCGGAGCCCCAGCCCAAGGCGCTGACTCGCAAGCCCCTCCTGCTCAACAAAGTGGAGGGCTCGCAGGAGGTGGTGAACATGGCAGCGATAGTGCCCAAGGAGGACGGGGTCATCAGCGTCTCCGAAGACAGGTACCGGGAGCGGGTGTTCGGCGGGGCCGCGGCGGCGGTCTGTCAGCTCCCACCACTGCTGCCGGTGATGGTGGCAGTGCTGGGCCCGCGGCGCGGGGTCCTGGCTGGCGGTCCCCCATCACCGGCGGGAGGTGGTGGAGGCAGACAGCCAGCATCCCTGTGCGACTGTAGTCTCCACTACTCGGAGCCCGGGCAAGCGTCACGGTGGCGGTGGTCCAGCATGGGGACATTGCTTTAAGCAGACACATCACATCCCGGAGGGGAAGGAGCCTGGAGCAGGGGTCTCCAGGATAGTGTCGCGCTCCTCCTCCGCCGCTGTGTGGGTCAGGACAGTGACCGGGCTGGGGCGCCGCTGAAACTTGCAGGACTTGAGTGACTTTTCTAAGCGTGGGAAAAATGGGATGTGAGATCCCCTTCATCACGAGGATTGCCGGAGAGTCTGTGGAGATCTTTGACCTTGCCTAAAGATTGTGGTAGCATTGGCTGAAACAGTAGTTTTGGTTCCCGTTTCCCCTCTCCAAACATTTCTTGGTAATTGTTTAAAAATACCACGTATCGGTGATAAGATCTTGGAGTTAAATCCCGTGTTGAAAAGCTGCCAAGGAGGAGAATGCTTTCAGGCCCTTTAGCAGGGCTTCGAAGGGACTGAGGCTGCCCAGGGGCTCAAACTTGATTCAGCTCTGCAGCTGGACCTTCCAAATTCTAACTTGAAAATCTTTTATTTCAAAATAAGTGCTTATTTTTCTTGCAGTGCCCATAAATAGTTATGTTAGGCAGGGTTTCTTTGCAGCTCAGGTGTAGTGTGTCCTAAGATTGAAAGACACATGTTGTTGACCAGCCTGTCAGTATGTTTTGATACTCACAGATATTTGGATGGACTGTTTCTCATGGATGCCTGTTCTGTTGACTGTCTGCTTTTATGTCTCTGCAGGCTTTCTGAAAAACGGACAGTATTTTCTTTCATCTTTGTCCCCACTGCGACTTAGTTTTCAGCTGTCAAATATGTGCAAATTTAAGACCATTTAAGTTCACCTTAAGCTGAGGTCTCCAATTGAACTCTCATTCATCTGCTAGCAAGAGGAGCTGGGTACTTAAAACAAGTATAATGTCAAAGGAACTTTAAGTAGAGTTTTACATTGTTATGTGCTCACAATTTTATTGTCCTCACATTTTTATGTATTTAAAATGATGCTGAATATAGCTTGAGCTTGTTTTCATTCATTGTAGCTTGTTAGGCTTACTTAGCCGATTCTTTTTACCTGTAAGAAGGTATTCCTGAAATTTATTTCCTCTCATATATTCTTGAAATTTATTTCCTCTCTCTCAATCTCTGCATCTTCCCTCACCTTAGCAAAAATACGTAGCTGTAGTTGTTGATGACAGGTTGATGCTCCATGTTGATATTTCTGTGTAGGGAACAGGATTGATGAGACATCATTATTTTCACTAGTAACTGAGGTGTCAGCTTCAAGAAACAAGCAGTGAAGAAGAAACCAGGAATTTCACACTAGGAAACTCCAGAGGTTCTCAGGCTATTTCTGTTTAAGGGAATTAACCAGGTAGTGTGCCTGCTTCCGGGACTTGTTTGCAGTATCCTTGACATGCTACAAGCTATGATCCTGCCTTTTATTTATTCAGACATGAAGATGTCGGTTGATGGGTCTTTCATTTTCTGCTTGCATTAGCATTTTTATTGTAATTAAAAGATTAAGAGTGTGAAACTGACTTGGAAGGAATAGCAGGTTGGGAGTCTAACTTGCAGGTTTTAGGCTGCCTGGGGTGAAAGCATAATTTGTCAGACTTTCAATACTCGTGTATTATGATTAGGCTTGTGCAGATCCTTATGGCACCTTTTCCTGTTTGGACCTGCCTTCTCCTGTCAGTGTTGACGTGGTTGTTTAATGGCCATGGAATGTGGAGGGCTTTTAGAGCTTCCTGGAAACTGTTAAGGATCATTATGGAGATGTTATCTGTCCCTTTACTTGTTAACCAAATAAGTGAGTTTTGTCTACATTTCCCAAACAGTGATATGCACTGCTCATACGAGGAAAATATTCTGAAACCTCTGCAGAGAACTTCAGCTAGAATCACTTGCCATCTCCAGTAATTGCTTCAGTATGGGACATCTGTACGTGAAGGAGGAATAGTTTTGCTGGTGAATGGCTGAACACATGATTATTGAAGTTGCTGGTAGTCTTTGCATATGCAGTAGCTAGGTGCCACTTTAAAGGTTTTTCACTTTAAAGGTTTTCTTTGCTGCACGATGTGGCTCTATACACCTCAGCCTTTAAAAGCAGGAGCTAGCTTGGTCTCTGGTCCCAGTTTTGTATGGCACTAGTGGTGTTATCTGGTTTGAAAAGACACAAAAGTGATTTTAGCTACAGCTTGCAGACATAGTTATGGATTATATAGCCCTGCATGTTTGTAGCTCATACATGCATATATTTTAAGAAATAAAATTAAAACTATTTAATAATAGGGAGTGTCGTTATTCCTCATAAAGAAAGACAAAGGTTGGGGGGGGGAAGAAGGAATCGGGGGGAAGGGGGGGAGGCAAAGTGGGTTCACGTATTAAACTAGGTTCCCAAAACTTTGTATACCCAATGGGGTTGGAGTTCCTTTTTAGTGTGTGTCATTTGTACACGTGATGCACATGGATTTTCTCTTCTTAATCCTGGTCACTTGTGATAATTGAGTGATGTTCATTGTGTGCTAATCTTAGTGGGTTTTCTAATTCTATATCTGGGCAAAATAGACTGAGCCTGTATCTACAGTACAGCTGGTATGCATTGGAGGGGTAAAGTATTATGTGCTTTTCTTCTAAGAAGAAGGATGCACCTGTCTAGACAGGTGAGAGTTGAAATAGTGGCAAAATTTGATATCCAGAAATGTATAAATCTATTGCAGGATGACTCTGAGAAATTACTAGCTTTCATCCATGCTCTTTCCCTGCCAGCAAACTCATGGAATCAACAGACATATATAGCCAAACATGTAGAGTCTTGAGTGATCCATAGCAGTGTATGCTCATGTGAAGTTAGAGTGGCTTTTCCTAATGTGCACAGCTGATCCTGAGCTGTCATCAGCTTCCTCAGTATTAAAAGCATGCACTGCCGTTTCAAAATTGTGAAGCATCCTTGTCTTTTGTTGTGCTCAGAGGGAGACGTGGGTGTTGGGCATGTCTGAAAAGTAGGTCACTGGCATGTCAAGTTCAGACATATCTAACTCCATGCTCCAGAGAAGATTTAGTGTCATTAATCTTACCTGAGCATGGGATACGGTGGGACAAGTGCACTGACTCACCCAGCTTTCAGTGGCAGCAGTTCTGTTCGATGCTGGCACACTCGTGTGCTTCTCAAGAGCCTGAAGAGCCTGCCAGTGCTGTGAGTGCCAGTTCAGCTGGGCCTCCGATGTGCTGATCGTGTGTCACCCATGTGCTGATCGTGTGTCACCGTGCCAGACTGGCAGGAGGGGCGTGGTAGACCTGCACTTTACCAGTAGCCCTCTTTTTACCCCTAGCTGGATTCTAAGTGAGGAGAACTTTTACAGAGGCTGGTGTAAACAGCTTTCCTGGTAATTATGAACTGTGGTCTGTGCCCTCTTGTGGGTGGGAGTTCTGTGCTCACTTCCATGCCACAGACCTTCTAAATGTACATGTTGCAGTCAAGAACTGTTCTCCTTGAACTATTCATAAGAAGTAAAAGTTTTTACAGTCAACTGAAAATTGTCAAAATCCTTTTATTTTAAAAAATGGGCATTCTAGTCTCTTGGTGGCAAGATAGAGAAAAAAAATATGTATCCCTTTATCCCATAGCTTTTTTGTTTTGGTTTGGTTTTGGTTTTGGTTTGGTTTTTTTTAAGGTTTTAAGGGAGTATGGACCTTTGTCTTCTCCATTACCTTGTATTATCTTAAGTTCTTTTTGAACTCAGTAATCTCAGCTTCTTCATATGGATCACTGTATAAACAGTGAGCCCCGACTGCTTATCTTATTAATGTCTTCATCTCACATAGAGAAAACTGTGCAGAGCTTGTATTGCTGGGTTTGGTTTACAGTGTGAGGGTTTTAAATACAGATGTGCACTTCAGCTGTTGTCCAAGGCTTGTGTTCTGAGTGTGCTAATGAGCAGGTTTTTTAGGGGGCACAACAACTTAATGCCCATCTTGTGTAAATGAAAATCTCTTTGCTAAACTAACAGTGGACTGGGAATGGGAATATGCATATGTGACAAGAAATGTGGGAGTTGTCTTTGCTTTGTGTTGACATGACTTCTACCATGGAGAACTGTGATCTTTCTGCCCTCAAGTATATCAAAAGCAATCTTTTTCTCCTTGTGGTTTTCCTGTCCAGATCCAGAATATTTAGCATACAGTGTCATAGTTCATGCCTGTGAAAAAGCTCTGATGGAAAGGTGGGATGCTTCACACAGTGCTGTATTCAAGCAGGGTGCAAGGAAGCACAGACCCTTGGTAAACTGAGTTTCCTTTCTCCTCTGGTGGAGTGGTAGAAAGTGATTGCTTTGCCCAACAGTGTTGGTTGCTGTACAGGTCTGTAACTCTTGCCTAAGCACAGGGTTACATCACTGATGTCTGCTCTGCCTTGTGAGTGGCTGTTGGTTCACAGCAGAAGTGTAGGTGCTGTGAGAACTGATTTTGATGCTGTCTGTGTATGTTTTTCAGTCTAAGCCTGTAGGTTTCACACCCAGGTGATTGCAGTATGAGCAGTAGTTCAAGCAGGGCAGAAGGTGTGTATGCTCTTTGCAAGTGTAAAAGGACTTGTTCCTGCCTGGAGGTTCTTTAAATTTTGATAAAAACGTTAGTCACCAATAAAATTGTTGATAGGAATTGAAGAGACCTAATGCTGTAGAAGGAATTTGGTTGCTCTTTTATTTTGTGTGGTTTTTTAAACTGAATTTTTTGGATATGTTGTAATTTGATGAGTGTGTGTTTGGAATAAAGGTCAGGGTGGAGGTTAGTGCTGGCTGTTTTGAGGAAGAAGTGG